TGGAACTGTCTTTCCAAAAATTATACCGAGGCTAACTCAATTGAACATTTTAAAACCCAGTGTACTTTCAGGTCAGGATGTTAAGATATGTGAAACCAGGTGAATGGAGTTGAGAAGTGGATCAATATGGTCTAATTGAATGGTAAAATAAGATTGTGAAGCTAAATTGCCTCCTTTCGTTCCTATGCTTTGTAGTTTTGTTAGGTTAAAGTTAGAACCTTCCAGATGAGAAGGTTGTGTCTTCCCTCCTGATCTGTGCTGATCTAGCTAATCTGAGCATTGCAATAGTTAATCTGCTATACTTGCCCTTTGTGCTTCTGGGTGATTGAGAAGGAGAAAAAGTTGTCCTGAATTCCTTTCCTGAACGCTGTTATGGGCTGCTTCTGGGAAGTGCATATGGACGATATCTGATGAATTCAGGCTACTGCAGGAGAAATGAACTCTAGGTTGACATGCTGTCAAGTTGCTGATTCTATGAAATTGTTTTCTGAAACAGCACCATGAGGAGAGGAGTTAGGTAAAAAGAGTAAAGTTAAATTGTTTAATATAACGTGGTATTTCAGAAACCACATGATGAGGAAACTTCTACGCCATGTTCTTCTTCCTGAAGTAGCACCAGTTCCTGTGATTTTCAAAAGGAGGAAATCATAGAAGCAGCTTTTTTCTACTGCACTATTTGTAGCTCCTGGTTTCATTTTCTGGTTTTACTGCAAGGGTAAACAGAATTATGACTTGACTATTTCTGTAATGTTTGCAATCTAGCAAATTACTAATACATGGTGAAAACTGGAGAGTTTTCTCTCTGCAGATGTTTTAATGTATCATGTTGAATTATACCTCTATTTAGTGCATTGGTCCTTTTCAAGGTTATGCAGAGTTGGGAATGAAAGCTGTCTTTCTGATGTTATAAGGATGATACTTGAAATGACTGTTGAGCAAGTTCAATCAAGTTCATAGTTGCTGTAAGCTACCAACAGGGGTCACAGCCTCAGGAAATGAGGTAGGCTATTTAGGACTGAAATGGGGAGAATTTTCTTCATCCAGAGAACAGTGAGCTTGTGGAATTCTCTGCCACAGAAAGTGGTTATGGCCAAAACATTGAATTTTTTCAAGAAAGACTTTGGTTTAGTTTTTAGGGCTAAAGGAATTAACGGGGAGAAAGCTGGAACAGGGTACTGACTTAGATAATCAGCTATGATCATATTGAATGTGGGAGCGTGCTCAAAAGGCAAAATGGCCTATGCCTGCTATCTTCTGTGTTTGCCATGATCTCCTCAAGGGATTGCACGGATAACTTATCAAAGTAGTAATATTTAATGTACTGCAGGATGTTATAGAGGGAGCTTGGAAACAGAAAAGGCTTCAGTTACATTTTGCAACTAATCTCTGAAGTACTTGAAGGAAGAATGCAGAGAGAGCTTTAAATTTCTATCTGAGCATGCATACTCGATTTAAGTATTGTACGCCAGAATGTTTTCTTTTGTTTCATCCTATTGAACAATGCAATATCTGGGACCTTGGCTGGCTGACTGACTAACTATAAACCAGGTGCTTAGTATAAACTGAGAGGTACAAAATTAACATGGCTGAAGACCGACTGAAACTGAGGCCACTCACCTTCAGTATCAATGCACTCGAGTTCTACTGAAGTAACTGCCAGGATTAGAGCTCAGTATGCAAAATTCCTCGGCACACTATAAACAGCTGGGAATCCACAAGACAGAAGACCGTGTTATGATCAGGTCACTGGATTAATAATCTAAAAGCTCAGGCCAATTCTCCTGAGAATATGGGTTCAAATCGCACAATGGCAACTGGTAGAATTTAAAGTAAATGAATAAAAGAAGTCTGGATAGTTTCAGGTAGTTTCAGTAATGGTGGCCCATAAATTGTCATTGATTGTTGCCTTAAAAAAAAAACCTCATCTGGTTCACTAACGTCCTTTAGGGAAGGAAATCTGCTATTTTTACCTTGTCTGGCCTACAAGTGTCTCCGGACCCACAACAATGTTGCTGACTTGAAGTTGGCCACTGAAAGACCTAGCAAGCCCCTCAGTTCAAGGGCAGTTAGGGATGGACAACAAAGTGCTGGCCTGTCCAGCAATGAGCGATGATCACATGAAAGAATATCTTAAAGTTGTGATAGAAGCCTAAATGGTTTGTGGTCTCGCACCTTGATTTATGGCAGTGAAACATGAATAATTACAGCTACCAAAGAATGAAGTTAAACAGTTTCATCTTCACTGTTTTCATGGGTTCTGGATATCTTATGGAAGGGCAAAATGATTGATAAGGTACTCCTTTCAAAGCAAGTCTCAAACATGTTGCATTAATGAGTCAAGGCAACTTTGCTGGCTTGGACAGGTTCGCTACCTGGAATATGGATGTGTAGCCATGGATTTTCTGAATGGCAGGACCTCCAGTGTCAGATGACCAGTAGGCTGTCCACAGCTCTGCTTCAAGGATATTTACAAGTGTGAAATGACCACTCTCTTGACACTTATTACTACACCTCGTACTCACTAGCTAATGACTGAGAGAAATAGTGTCATTCACCTGTGGCCTGGTGTGTGCCACCATAATGGTAGTTGCTACAGTGACTTGGTAATCAGTGGGAATGCTGAAAGCAACAACCCAAATGACACTTCTGACAGACCTGTTTCTCATGGATTTGTCTCTTCACCCATCAGGAAAGCGGCACTTTATGAAGTTTTCTCATTCCCAGAGGATTAGATTTGTTGCATGTCCATATTTTATGGAGATGGAAGAACGTTGAGCAGTGCAATGCAAATTACAATCAGATTTAATATTCCTTTGTTTTTCACTGTTTTGTCTGTCCCTCTTTTCCACTACTTTAACTGGTTGGATGTTAATTTATTTCTTGTCATCACAGTGCTTACAGTTACCAGTCACCAAATTGAGAATGTTTCAAACTTTGCACCAATAATTAAGTTTCATTCTTACTAAGTAGCATGGGGTAAGCTCTTCCTCCTTCAGTACACAGCTGAGCAGATACCCTTTGTGTAAGAATGCTACCAGTCAGTCCAGTTTCATATTTACTGTTGTCAAAGGAATTGAATAATAATTCACATTAAAATTTAAAATTTATTTTACTGCAGAGTCCCTGTTTAAAGTTGAGTCAACAATGACGTTTAACAGACTTACAGCAGATTTACAGCATCGCAGTTCTTTTGGTTTTTATTTGACATTAACAGATGTTGTGTTCTGTGGCTCACCTGCTCCAGTATTTTTCTGGGAACAGGAGTAGGCCATTCACTCTGAACCTAGCTGATTAAACACTTCATTGTCTTTTACTAACTGTATTCCCAAAGCCCTGTATGCCACTGGCAATCCGAAATCTGTCAATCTCTACCTTAAACATACTGAAAGACTGAACCGCTACAGCTTGCTGTGGTAGAGAATTCCAAGGTTCACAACCCTCTGCATAAAATAATTTCTCCACATCTCCAACCTAACTGTCAACCCCCTTATTTTTAAACTGCGTCCCAAGTTTTAGACTTTTCAACCAGAGGAAACCTTTTACCTCTATCTACCCTGTTTATCCCTTTCAGCATTTTGTAGCTTCTGTTAGAAACCTCCATTTTTACTTCTAAATTCCCCCAAGTCTGTCGCTGTCACAGGGTTGGGTAATCCTGCTCTGGCATAACTCTAATTTTGCTTCTGCTGCTACTCCATTTCTAACCCTGCTATTCTTCACTAATCCAGCTCTTGTTCTCACCCTCTATCCCTAGGTTTAAAATCTCCGTCTGTTGCCACCTGTGGGGAGTTTTGCTGCTCTCTTGTGCTTCTTTTCTGAACTTACTTTGAAGTCCTTGGTTCCACCAGGTGTCAGAGGTTGACCACTGTAGGACTTCAGCAACCTGCACTGACCAATGACTGCCACGAGGTGGAGCCTTGTCAAATACAAATTCATCTGCGGTGTAATTTATTGACAGCGTTTAGTATTGCAGTTTTAATTTTTTTCATTTTCATGGTTATCTTATTTTGGAATGTTGACATTTATCAATATTTTAAAACTGCTTTTTGCTGAGAAAAGTCCTGAAGTACCTAACTGTACAGCGTTTCATTTATATTCAGTGATTTATTTTGCAAGTTATTTCAGCTAGGAATATGCAGTACTGCTCATGTGGCACAGTGTTTCAGCATGTACACTTAATTTCTGGGTAACAAATGTACAAAAGAGCTGAACTCCAAATTTAACATTGATTTCTATGGGAATCTGTGATTCACTTGAAGTTGATTTACTGCAAATCTCAATTTTCACTAAATCAACTTCAACTTTAAGTGAGGACTTCCTTTATAGATAATTTAATAAGACATTGTCTAGGAGGAAGAGGCCATTCAGTTTTTATTCAATGAATTTAGTAGTAGGTACGTATAATCAATTATAAAATCTCAGTGATTATGTTCATTCATTTATACTTGTGTGGAGCCAAGTATGATGCCAAAGCAACAGGGAGGTATTCTGCTGATGAGATTATTTAGCCCTGCTTCAAATCCATAGAATGAAAATCTGATCATTGAGTATAAGGACTTTGAATCAGTTAATTCACTAGCAGTTTACTGGTTTGGACTATCTCAAATCCAGTTCACAGTGAACGTTAACACACAGCACAAAAGTACGTACTTCTAAAACTGACTTTAATTGGCAATCTCTGACAGAAGCCCCAAGGTAACTAGTGTAACTAGTCATTGAAGTTGGTGAAGGTAAGGGAGTACTTCCATGATCATTTGACATGGGAGTACTGGAATTTGACTCTGGTTGAAATCGAATACTTGTCATTTTGTTCCAAATATTAATTATTTCATACTATAGCACCATCAATATGTTGCAAAACAAGCAGCAATAAAGCCAAAACTAAATTTCATGATAGTCTGAAGGTACCCACGCACGGCCATTTTCTACAGTTCAAAGATTGAAAAGTATTTCCTAATTAAATGGGACAAAGTGAGATTTTTGAGCATTGTTTTATGTTACAGATATAAGGATGAAAGTGACTATGCTTTGCGATACATGGAGAGTAGCTGGAGAGAACAACAGAAGGAAGAAGCCAAAAGGTAAAATTTCAGCATTGATACACCTCCAGATCTTACTTGGAACCTGTGTTGCTAGCGATTTTAAATGTTTAGCAATAGCCTCTAAGTTTGTAACTCACTGGTTTCTCAGTCTTCCAAGAAGTATATCATTTATACTCGTGTGTTGTTACTGGTGGCTTTAAATTTTTACAAAGACAGATGTATTCAGTGCTTAACTGCCAAACATACACATGTTGTTTAATAGTATAGTTCGTGACTGAAATGGGACATGCTTTTGTCTTGGCAATGTCCTTTTTTTCTCAAGTTATAAGTCTTTGTTAGAACAGTCCTCCACTTGGGTACCGGTTGTCCTTTTGTAGCCTGCTAAAGTGACTGTTGTTCAAGTGTAAATTTCAGCAGTTTTGTTAGAAACAAGGGCAAAAACTCCATTCAGGAAGCAAATTACTGGTTAACAGTTAGAACTGTCACCCTAGCTGATTCAGCACTGAGCTGCAGTGAATTGGTTTAATGCTTCACCAGCTGTTAAATTGATTACTTAGACTTTTGAGAAGTCCTAGTATAAAGAATTGAGTAACTGAGATTGTTGGGCTCAAGCTAATACTTCATATTCCAGGATCGTACTTAAAAGCAATTCTTTAATGGAGCACATCTGTTCTGTTACGAGTTCTCTGCTGTACAAGTAAACAATGGGCTAATGGAAAGTGTGTTCTCCATGTTCTGCTGATGCGTTTCATGCCTGTTAGTAGAAGCATGAGGCAACACCTCTAAGACTGATCCTTTCCGCTTATCTGTGTGTTGCGAGGTGGGGTGTACATGAAATGGAGTGTGGTACAGACCCCCTAGTTTGACAAAAATCAGAACCCAGTAATGTGGGGTGCCAACTCATCAGCATCATGGTGACAAGCATTGTTACTTTTATGAATGCAACAAAGTAGTCATTATGCCTTTTACAATTGATTTTAGTTTTTTAAGAACAGACAAATGTGCATTTGCACAGTGCCTCAGGCTACTTCAGCAGTGAATTAATGTATAATCACTGCTGGGTAGGTGAGTACAGCAACCAGTGTACATTCAGCAAGGTGTCTCAAACAACAATGAAATAAACAAGCAGGACATTTGTTTTGGTTGAAGAATAAGAGTTGGTCAAGACTTGAGGGAGTTGTCCTGTTCTTCAAACAACACGTGGAATCTTAACCAAAATATGGCACCTCCATCAATGCAGGATTTCCCTCCAGTTTTGGAATGTATTATCATAGAAACACAGGACCTTGCATCAGAGCTAGATACCATTTGGCCCATCATGTTTCTGCTACTCTGAGAAGTTTAATTCACCCTACTTCCTTGCTTTGTCTACAGTTCTAAAATCTTTGCCTCTTCAAGTATTCTATCCAATTCATTTTTAAAAGTTCCTCTCCTCCCCTTTCAAACAGAGAGCATTCCAGATTTTCAGAACATGTCAAATGATGTGCTCAGATCCTGGAATGTTACTTTGTTCTTTAGGCATAGATGAGCATTCTATCACTGAACTTGGTGAAATTTCACATTTTGAGGCTGTTTGTAATGGCCTATAATGATAAAGTATACAACAGAAATGCTTTTGGTGTTTTGTAGTCTGAACGGTGTTCCAAGAAGCTTAGTATGAAAATAAGTTCTGGAAGAAATAAATTTCTTGGTTAGTAACTTGTTTTAATGTTGTAGCATTTGAAACTTCAGAGTTACAAACTAATGGCATTAAGCTATCCATTCATAAACTTTGTCCTTAAAAATGGACACACTGGAGGATTTGAAAGTTGGTAGCAGGAGGTGGCAGAGCTTTGAAGAAAAACCAAATGTTTGCATTTGATAAGTTTTGATCCTTTTTTCTCTCTGCAGCTTGCAGATGGGTATGATGGAGGACGCAGAAGAGCTGCGAAAAGAAGAAGAAGAACTAAGAAGGAAGATGAAAGCTAAGAAACGACACCTTTAGTTAATTGAAGAAATCACAAGAAATTTATTTATTATATTTATATACAAAATCTGGTTATTTACAAAAAGTAATATGCACTAAAGAATTTACTTTGTGAACTGTGGAACTTACTAAGCTGATTGACCAATTCAATAGAAGATATAAGTTAGCATTTGAATAAGTTGTGCTGGTAACTGGAGTAATTTTTATATAATTGTATGGTGCATCGCCAATTTTTTTTCAGTTCCTAGATCTGATGCATTGGATAAGGTCACACAACAGCAGATTTGTTCTTTCATTCTTTGTATTCCATAAATTTTAATTATGGAGTTAAGGACTTTGGTTGCTGCAAAGTATTGATGTGTATACTGTTAATGTTTTTTGCATTTCAGGCTTAAAGGCAAAACCATTTTGTGTCTTAAAGATTCACCACCAATTATCATTCGACTTTGTTCTGGTTGATTTAAAATTTGTTCTTTTTCCCCTGCTTCATTTTTACTGGAGATGGGTGATGTGGTGCATTAGCCACAGTCTCGCTGTCTCAACTTTATGAATTCAAATTCGTCCCAGACTCATGGAAGAAATGTCTCCTCTGTCTGCTGGCCAAATGTGAAATGAGTTTACGTTCTTTCATTTCATGAACTTCCAGTACATAACTGTTTCTGGTTTCATGTTGCAGTCACTGATACCCTACAATGCTTCAAGTGGTCGATGGAAAAATATTAAAATATCATGAAACTATTTGGCTTATTGAAGCAGATTCCTCCGAGTCTCTCAATTATAGCAACAAAATAGACTTTAAATGTTTTTTTTTTGTCTCCATTATGCTGTCTCATAGATTATTCCAAACCATGACATTTTTGAGCAAGGAAATTTTTCCTAGCAACTATTTTAAATTTAATTTTCACCATTTTAATTTTATGTCCTCTCAACCAATCCCCTAATTTTGCTGCTCCTCTATGGTTGAGACAGAAGACATATTGGTGGAACATTATAGAATGCTTTTCTCTGCACCCAACTGTGCCATACCTCCTTTGGGCATGTTTGATGCTGGCAATAGGTGCCTGAAATGGAATGGCACTTTCCCATCACTTTGAGCACAATATTTTCTAAAACCAAATAGGTTACTGATCTCTGAAGTGCGATTTGTTTAAACCTATAGCTAGGTGTGCTAGTGAAAAGGTTAAAGATTACAGTTGAATAAAAGTATAATAAAATACATTTTGTAATTTTTTGAGAATAATGCAAGTACAGATGCATTAAATGTAATTGATACTCTGTACAATAAATTTTTATCACATAGTTTATCATATTATCTTGTAATATCTCCTCTTTTAGTCATTTTAAAAATGAGTTTGACCATTTGTACATGTTTGAATTGTTGGTGCAACAAACTGTTATGTCATCGACCTCATTCACTTGGGGTTCGTCTTGAGAATGTTCTTCCTGCGTGGAATGACATTTGATGGATGTTTTCCAATTGCGTCTCGATATTGGCAAAGTAGTGCCGATGTATTGGTAAAGTGGAATATAAAATCACGTTTTCAAAGTATTTATTTGAATGGCAATGGTCACTGCAAGTTAAACATCTGGGATATTGGTTCAGTTTAACAGCACAAAACCATTGTTTTCATTGCAAGGCTTATTGGCTAGGTGTAAACTCCTTCTGTGACATTCTGTCCCTGTACCATTCACCCATTTTCATCTAAAGGTAGGGTGAAGAATATCAAATTGATGCTTAAAAGATTAATTTGCGTTAAATTTCTACAACTGACAATGCTATTTGAGGGCATCTTGTTTAATATACTGATACTTTAAAAGTGCCATGTTGCTACTATATACCTATCTTTTGACCTGCCTAAAAATGACAGTTGCATTGTTGAAGCAACACAGGATCCAATGGATGTTGCTGTCATAGGGCAGATATTAGATATTGGTTATTTTGGAAATTGAGAAAGGACGCCTATTAATTTATGCTATTTATTTGTTATACAACAGCACCTTGTATTTATATAGCTGTTGAAAGTAAAATGTCCAAAACTGCTTCATATGAGTGTAATCAGACAACTGACATTGAACCATTGTGAACACCATTACCAAAAGCTTGCTCAGAGGTATGCTTAAGTTTTAAAGAAGACAGACAGGTGAAGAGGTTTAGGTAGGGAATGATCACCAGTGGTGCATTGCTGAAAATCTGGAATATGAAACAGCCAAAATTGAAGGAGCTTTGATAACTTGGACAGTTACAGGATCAGAGGAGCAATGGGGAAAGGGAAGGCCATGGGTAAATCAGAAAATTAGGATAAATTTAAAATTGAATTGTTGGACCAGAAAGCCAGTTATGTTTATTGAGTGTAGAGCAATTGGGTAAATAGAACTTGGTGAAAGTTACAATACAAGCATCAGAGGTTTAGATGAGTTCAAGCTTATGGAAGATATAAGGTAGAGACTGACTGGGGGAGCATTAGAATAGCGTATTCTGATTTTGCATATCAGTCCAACTCTTGTGATACTAGCATTCCTAGTTTGCAAACCAAAGCTGCTGCTTTGGTAATATTTCTGGTTTATAAACCAATGAAAAGCTATGATTCCATTTCAGAGCACAGCTGTGGTAAAGGTAAAGGTGCCAGCAGCTGTAATCCCTGCTCTATATGATGGGTACTAACCCTTTGCCGTTGCAATTGTTTTCTCCTTCTGTACTCTAAGCTATTCATGATTTGAATATCTGTCAAGTCTCTTAATTTTCTATATTCTAAGAAGAAAACCCAATGCCTGCATGTAACTGAGATTCTTCTTCCCTGCTACAGTTGAAGTAAAATGCTTGAGCACTCGCAATCTCTATCTTTCTTTGATGTATAATGGCCAGAATTGAACACCATACATCAGCTGAGCCTTCCCTTGTGTTTTATCACTATTTACCATGCTTCCTTGTTTTTGTAATCTAGGCCACTATAAATAAAGTGAATAATTCCATGTGCCTTTTAAAAATACCTTCTCAACTTGGATATCCTTAGTCTGCATATTTCACTGATATATTTTTATCATCCTGAAGTTGCTATTATCATTAAATTTGAGTTTTGTGTCATCCACAAATGCTGAAATTACTCAAGTCTGAGTCAATAATATACATCAGGGAGCAGTGACCTAATAATAAACTCTTGCAGAATACCCTGTATTTCAATTACATTTATTTGGTACAAGCAGCAACCACTTCAATACCAAAACTGTTTTTCTCCTAAAACGTGGGAATCATAAAATCAGATGTTTTTACAGTTATTTATTCAATGCCTTTGCCCTTTCCTCACGCCACATAATTTCTCTTGTCTTTGCATCTAGACAGCCAGCATTAACTAGTCTCTTCCTTTTTTACATTGTTTACTATAGTACTGACTAGTTTACTAATCACTTTTTTCTCTTTATCAACCTTTCGATGGCTCTTTGGTTTTGAAAACGTTCCCAATTGTCAGGCTTACTATTGTTCTTTGCAACATTATAAAGCTCTTGTAATCCAGCACTATCTTTAGGCTTGTTATTTTTCAATGGAGTATACTTTTGTTGATCATTTTGATTGTTTCTTTAAATGCTTGTCACTCTTTACTTTCATATCTTTTAGTTTATTTATTTAATGAACCTTACCTGCTCTTCCCTCATTCTTACTAAATTGTCTTTATTACACTGTTATATTTAAGTTTAAATGTTTTTTAAAAACTTCCACAGAGTCTTTATATTAATGCATTGACTGCCTCTAGCAGGAACAGTTTTTACAGGAGTTGAACATGCCATATGGGAATGCATTTCAAGAGTTCATCGATATACTTTTTTAAATGTTGAGGCTTCTCCCCTCTGCTACCCTCCCACACAGTGCATTCCAGATTCCTACCACCCGCTGGATGAGAAATATTTTCCTGTAATCCCCTCTAAACCTCCTGTCCTTCAGCTTAAAATTATGCCCCATTGTTATTCCATCTGCCATTTGTCTGACATTCTGACCAACCCATCAATATCTTCCTGTAAGTGGGGACCTACTTCCTCACCTGCCACTGTTCTGCTGCAGATTTTCCCACAAGTAGCTGTTCCCAGTCTACTTTGGCCAAATCCAGTTTTTATTTTAATAAAATCTGCCTCCCTCCAGCCGAAACACATTTTTTGCAGGCCATCGCTTTCATTTTACCATAACAAAGGTTAAGTCCTACTGTAATAATGCTGAATGAACACAGCAGGCCAAGCACCATCAGAGGAGCAGGAAAGCTGACGCTCCTGCTGAATTTCTGAAGAAGGGTCTAGGCCCGAAACGTCAGCTTTCCTGCTCCTCTGATGGTGCTTGGCCTGCTGTGTTCATCCAGCTCTACACCTTGGTATCTCAGATTCTCCAGCATCTGCAGTTCCTACTATCTCTTAAGTCCTACTATATTGATATTATTAAAGTGCTTTCCTTTTGCCACCTTGAAAATCAGTCCAGTTTTTTGTTTCCAAGAATTAGGTCCAACAGTGTGCTATCCTTTGATGGACTTCTACATATTGTGATGAATAGCACTCTAGAATGCATTTTATTACTATTCACCCCTCAAAGCCTCTTTATAAGGGTGATTGAGGAGTGTGATGGATCCACACGTATGGATCGGGCTGTAGGAAGAGCAAACACTGCAATATAAAGGGTTGCTCTGCACTGCAGCCACTGGGTGGAGCTCACAGTCCAGTTTGGAGCTGGTCATGAAGGTTTAAAGCATACGAAACAACCGTTTAGCCCATCAAATCTCCATTGTTTTCTTCCTCAAACTGCATGCACCTTTGTTTCCTTCAGAAATATACTACTGGATGAAGTCAGTAAATCTGGTGTTGTGTTTAATTGGGCATGCTTGTGTGCTCAGTATTAGCAGTTGTCTAATCATGGTTTCATCATGTCCAAGCTCCATCATCCCAGCCAGGGGCTTCCTGCAGTAGACCCTAGACAGTAACCAGAAGTAGGAACCCAACCCAGAAACATGAAAGACAACACACAACTCCCATGAAGTCGTGACTGTGATAAACTGACTGAACACACTTTTAGTATATGGTATGAGATAATTAGGAAATCAGATAATAGAGTCAACACAGTTCTAAGGAAGGGTCACCGGACCTGAAACGTTGACTCTGATTTGTCTTCACCGATGCTGCCAGACCTGCTAAGCTTTTCCAGCAATTTGTTGTTTCATCTATTTATTGTTCTCTTTGTACCTGTGGATTTCATTGGAGGGGGCACATACTGTTAAACTTGTAGCCCATGAGGTAGCAGGTTATGCACCCCCCCAAACATCTTTATTAGGGAGGAGTTGTGTCTGATGACAATGACACATTTATGCATTAAAAATGGCAATTGTTGCTTCACAAAATATCAAATTTGAATCTGAGGCATTTTACTGGTGGCTTTACTGGGGTGCATTGATTATAGTTCTGGATTCATTAAGATTCTGAAATGAATCAAGTGTTGGGAGTAGGTTTTATGAATGAGTACTACTGACACAGATTCCTATCAATAATTCAAGCACCAAAGTCAGCATACCCTGTGTGATTCTCCATTCTAAAACTTAATGATGGAGAATCATGCAGGGCAAAATGCATTCTGTGCCTAAAACTGCATTGCACTTCAGTACTGAGATGTCAAGTGTAGCCTAGTAGTTTATATCAGAATGCAGTATAATAATCATAATGAGAATATTATAGACTTCAGTCTCCTGGCGAGGGTTAATAACAGGTAGGAATGCTACGTCTGGTCACTCTCCAGTGATTGGTAATCAGGTTTGACTATGATGTATTTATTCTGTTGATGCTCACTGTCCAGACTGACAAGAAGAGTAGAGAATCAGGGTGTTCCTCTTGTGCCAGAATAATCTGGGACAGGCCAAGAGGAATGAGGAAACTGGAGAGATGACAATAAACAATTTTCTGTCCTTTACTTTTCTTGGGGGCAGATTTGCTGATCATGCTCCCAGCATGTTCAGTAATCCTGGCTTAATGCATTCCTCCTCCATCATTGCTCAAAGGATCAATTTTTAAAGATTAAAATTCCACAGTATTTGAGCTGACTACCCACTGTTGCAAGCTGCTATTCTTTATTTCCAAGCCCGGACATGAGCATCAGCCTTCAAAGCGACATTGCAACTGTGCCTATTCTCATCTGATTACCATTCCCTGAACAGTGGTCAGCACTATCTGGTTCTGATTCTTCGAGAGTCAATGGAAGTGTTCCTGCCACTGGTAAAACTGAGCTAAACTAACTCGGTAAAGAGCAGAGATTAACCCTGAGGGCCTACTAATCTGTATGAATCAG